GTGTAGGCTGTGTGTACCCTCCTAGTGTAGTTGAGCTTGATTGTTGGTGTGTCAATGGAAGGGATATACCCCCAGGCCAGTCAGTTCCGAGGAATGGCTATGACCACTAACCACTGACCTCTGACCACCATGGAAGATCAGTTATACAGAAGCCCACCCCACAGAGCAGGACTTACTTCAGGAGGGCTCTGGTGCCCGCTGACTCCACCCCTTGAGTGTGTCACTCTTGTAGGTTGTTGGACAGTGCTTTGATGTGGTTTGAAGCTGTCCACTTGTTGTGCTGGCTTTGGAGCCTACCCAGGAGATGCAGACCAAAGTAAGCTGTTCCCTGTGCTCTGCCTGGGGTCACCAGGCATGAGCTACAAAGCTATCTGCAGATGGCTGCTACTTATGCTGGGGCTTAGAGGTGGCCAAGAGAGGGTAAGCTGTGAACCAAGACCAGCTGCCACTAGTGCCAGGCCTGGGGCCTCTTAGCAAGAGGTAGGGGTTACACTGAGGCCAGATGCTGCTCGTTTGAGAGATTTTTTGGAGGTCTGAAGCATGAGCCAAGATAGGCTGTTTGTATGGAAAAGCCACTAGAAGCAGCTTGGATGGGCCTAAAAGTTGGGTGGGGCAGGATCTCAGGGAATCACTAGGGTGAGGTAAACAGTGTTAGCCAGTTGATTGAGACTCAGATACAACACTCACCTGCCGGCTCTATGTAGGGACAGCTCAGCAAAGAAACAATGGCCTCTGCCAACACTTCTCTTTGGGAGAAAGCTGCCTCTCCAGTCCTTATGCTGGGGCCAGACATTTCAGTACCTCCCCATAGGCTCTGGTGCCTTTTGAGCTGCTACCCTAGTGCTAGAGGTCAGAGGGAGTGAGTCTGAGTAATTCCATGCATGGGCCCTTTAATAGGAACACCTAGGATTCCAGAAGCCCTGTGTCTCAGTCAGCCACAATCCCTGCTGGTTTTTACAGCCAGAAGTTATGGCACTGGAACCCTGGGCTGGGGTCCTGGTGTGGGGCTTGGACCCCTCGCTCCTCAAGAGGGACTTCCTCAGCTGAGATATCCTTCCCAATTTTCATCTGAGACAGGTGCGTGTGGAACCAGCCTGTTCTGCATTTCTGCCCCTCTTTCCAGTCTTGATAGGGCCTCATCTTTATATCCTTAGTTATTAGGACTTATGTTCAGCTAGATTTCAGATGGTTCTGAATGATGGTGTTTCTTGGTTTGGTTGTGATTCTGATGTGGCTGTGGGAGGATTAGAGTACTGCATTTATCTATGCTGCCACTTGACTGGAACCTTCCCATAGCGCTCATTTCTTGAAAGACCTTGAAACTACCAGCCTGCTAGCCAGAAGTCAAGAACATGGTAGAGTCTAGCCTACATCTAATATTAGGATAGGACGCCTCCTCCCTGTCTCCCTACCCCAGCGACTTCTCTATGTCCAGTGCATTTTCTGCAACCCTCCCTTTTCTGTCCTATGTTCGTATTGTTTACAATGTTTACAGACACTGGGGGTAACAACAACAATGTCCACTTCATTCACTTTTTTATGCTTTTTTTGGCATAACTATAAATTATTAGGGTCTTCATCATCCCAGAGTCAGGTGACCAGGGTCACCAGCATGAGCTACAAAGGTGACCAAAACTGGCAATCAGCTCTCCTCTTAGGACCCTTGAGTAATCCTTTAGCTTTTCAATCTTTTTCATGTCTTCGCACACATAAACTAATTATTAAAATTCTGTGGCACACCAAAAAATACATTTTTTGCCGATCTGACAAAAAATAGGCATAATTTTTATTCATTCATAACAGATGGCTACGCTGTATTGACTGTTATCATTTTTTTTATTTGACAGTCTAAGGGAAAAGAGGTCTGTGCCTCTGACCAAATAGTCAGATATTGACTGTTTTAAAAATTCTTACAGCACACCATTTGAAAATCACTGGCTTATACCATAACGGCTATTATGTGTGACCCCTGAGACTTATGAGTCTTATTCTAGGGATACTTCCTGTTTTCTCTGATAATCTCTGACTCACTGTCTGAAAGTATCCACTTTTATACAGACAGTAAAAAATACTACATATTTATAGGCTAAATATAGATACAAGCTTAATAGAAGAAAATAACAAATTTTATCTATGTCTATAGAGAAATGCACATCCTTGTTCTATAAAGAGACACCTACACAAGAGAGAAAACAGAACATATAGTTTTCTTTTTTTAAAAATATAAACCTGATTATATCACATCCCCAAGCCCTTTCCATGGTTTCCCATTGCTCCAAGGATACCTTCAGACCCTGAAATGTCCATCTCTATGTACCTGGCTGCCCCTCACTCTCTGGCCCAGCTGCCCCAGCCTTTTCTCACTTCTTACTTCCCGAGCTCTGAGCTCCCCCATGTTTGCACATGCCATCTCCTTAGCCTCTAATGATTCTCCCCACAGTTGTTTATTCATCTTTTAGATATTGACTTAAGTACAACCTCCACAGGAACACCCCCTGCCCCACATTCAAATTCAGATCCTCCAACATACACGTGTAAAGCACCATGCTTATCTTTGGAGCACTTACCACACTTGGAATTTTACTTTTGTGTAATTAAAAAAAAAAAAATAATATATATATATATATATATATATATATAAACACACACACACACATACACACACACATATAGTTAAAATATATAATTTTTATATTATAATATATTTAACATATAAATATATATATTAATCACACAAAAGTAAAATTCCAAATGTGGTAGGTGCTCCAAAGATAATCATGGTGCTTTACACATGTATGTTGGAGGATAATCTGCCTCCCCAGTAAGACTAGAAGCTCCACAGTGCAGGGACCATCCCTGCTTACTATTTACTGCTGCCTAGTTCAGTGCTTGGCACATAGTAAGCACCTAATAAATATCTGAATGACTAGATGAATAAACAAATATGTGAAAGTACCTTGGAGAACAGCATGCACTCAATACATGGTAACTTTTTCCTTTCCAGCCCCAAGCACATATTTACATTTCATGCCTCCTTAAAAATAGGTGCCTAGTTATAAAGTGTCTCTGAAATGACAATATCAATTTATTTTATCGCATATTCCTCCCTCCCATGTGCCCATATATTCTTCTTATGTGGCATAGTTGATCAAAGTGACTTAGATCCAGGAGACTGAAACTCCTGATCTCAACCAACAGATCACCATGTGCATAAGTCAATTTTCATTTCCTCATTTATGTTTTCCCAGTTTCCATACTAGTAACTTACATGGGGACCACACTGGCCCACATCTCAGGATGTCACAAGGATTCATTATTTAGAAAACTCACAATGATCCGCTTTTCAAATCACCCACATATTCTAGAGAAATCGGTGTGTCTTTTGGCCCATGACATCATGAGCATGGGGCGATGTGGGACCGATGCCATGACAAAGGCAGAAAAAGAGCCGAGGCATCTGCTTTTCTACCTCCATGTCTACTGACATGATCTTTTGGTAGCTTGGGGTTTACTTAGGATTTTTTTTCTTATGTATAATATATAATTGTAGGACATGAATCTGATGCCAGTTGCAAAATAGTAACTGGTACATACACACAAAATCTCCAAACTAACCTTCCTCAATTAACTATACATTTAACTTTTAAGTTGTGTAAGACTAGGCAGATCTGTGCAAATTAAATAGTAATTTGAAAACAATTCATTTTGATTTATTGCTTTATTGATGGTGCAATCTAAGTAGAAAATTATAAGGGTTTTGGTGTAATGTGCTAACTCAACATAGTAGATACCTACTAAGTGCCAAGCACGGTCCCAGGAGCTTTTGTGAGCACAATAGATAAAATACACCTCATCACTGCTTTCACAGAGTTTATAATCCGGCAGATGAGGCCAACATGGAGTAACATTCACAATACTAACAAACTCAGTAAGTTCTAGCAAGTTCAGGATGCTGTGAAAATGTGTCAGAGGGGATGTCAGCTGCCTGGAGTTTCAGGCAAAGTTTCTTGGAGGAAGTTACATTTCACCTGAAACAGGCTGCCATCTGCTTGGGGTTGTGCAACTACCTTCAAATCCCAATTCTGGCACTTGCACGTGTTAATGCCTCAGAGCTTGGGTCCTCGTGTGTAAAATGAGGATAATAGGCACCTGGGAGAGTTGTGGGACATGAGAGAAAATACAGGTAAAGCACCTCTTGGGTATCAGGCATATAGTAAGCCCTAAGCACACTGTACTTGTTATAATTATACATTAATGTAGGCCTCAAAGGAAAACAAGAAAAATTTGGCCACAGCTAAAAACAAGGGGGGAAATTTGGCGAAGGCTCCAAATTCAAGGGACAGCCACTACCCCCATTTGTACAGAGGCTTCACGTCTTGAGTTTCAGATGTTGGAGCAACTGATGCTTTAAGGCTGTGCTAACTAGGTTTTTATGGGTTGATGTGGAATTTTGGGAAGTGTTCTTTCTAGCTGTAGGTTAGCCAACACCCAGGACAGATTTTTCAGGCAAAAATAAGATACCTGGGAAACAGTTCTCTGGCCAGAGGACTCCCGGGTCAATCGGATTTCTGCCAGCTCTAGTGACAAAAGTTTGATAAACCAGGTGAAAGGGCAGGCGATGAATGTTCAACTGGGGGTTTCAGTTAAAGGTCAGAAGACCTGGCGCCACCTGGATGGGACCTGAAAGAGGAAAACTGGTGTTCCCAACAGAGCGCACAGGGAAGCCGCCGCCGGGGGCCCCCCGCGCTCCTCCCAGGGCGCTCCCTGCCCAGGCTTCCTGGGCGTTTGGATCCTGGCCACGTCCGCACCCTTCGATGGGTGTGGGTGATTTCGCAAGTGGACGGACGTGACCACCGCTGAGAGGAAAGAGTACAAGGCAACCAGAGCGAGTTGGGAAGGCGGTGCAGTGGGAGGGATGGGGGCAGGAGGGGGAGGGACGCAGGGCAGGAGGGGGAGGGATGCAGGGTGCAGTGGGAGGGGTGAGGCGCAGTGAGCCGGTGGAGGAAAGCAGAACAGCGCTCTGTGGCTTGGCCGGAGGAAGTGCGGCAGGTCACCGCTAGCGCTGCGCCACCGCTTGCTGGTGGGACAGCCAAGTGAGCCTGAGATGCTGCTGCGCTTGAACTCGGGGCTGCCGCCGCCGCTGCTGCTTCTGGTTCTGGGGACACTCGGTGTCTTCTCCCCCGGCGTCCTGACGGGACCCACACCAACCGAGGACCCCGTGGAGCTGGATTTTTCCACCGAGCAGCTGGTGCACCTGGTGAGCCCCGCGTTCCTGTCCTTCACCATCGACGCCAACCTGGCCACGGACCCTCGGTTCCTCACCTTCCTGGGGTAAGCACCAGCCTGCCGGTCCCTGTGCCCTAGCCAGCCACCCTCCTCCTCTCCTCTCTTTTGTCTCTTTTGACACAAGGAAATTCTCCCCCCCATCTCTGCCCCTCCCCCCTCAGTACTACTCATTCCCCCGACTTGACTCATTCAGCAGGTGTTGACTGAGTGCCAACTAAGGGCCAGGTGTTAAGGGGACATTCAGGAAAGAAACTTTACAACTGCCCAGCAACGCACTGGAAGAGGGACCCAGGCAAATGCACCTGGAGGGCTGTGAGCTGGAATTTGCTGCCCAACGTAGGACAATTAAGACTGTGGAGCAAGCAGGCGTCAGCCTCCTAACTGTTAGGAAGGGTTTTAAAAAGTCCATTGGAAATACCTCAAAGGATAATAAGCTTACCTACTCCATGTTTACACACACACACATACATAATTTTAAATAAACTTTTAAAGCACAGTTTTAGGTTCACGGCTAAATTAAGCACAAGGTACAGAGATTTCCCATATTACACTTTTTAAGTCTAATATTAAATAAGTGAGACCTGAGAGAATACTGCAGTGCCTTACAAAGCCTTAATAAAAATATCTCTGCCAAGATGAGGCTGCAAAATGTGGCACTGCTTTACCAGCTGTAGTTTCCTTCTCCTAGGAGAAAGACCATACCTGCTGCAGGATCACTAGCCCCTGCCCCGTGAGTGCAGGCTGATCCCAAGCTGGAGAGTTTTAGGGACAGTCTGAGGTCATTTAGGCCACTCATCTAGGTCATGAGAGCCTCCAGAGACGGCCACACCTCAACCAACCCAGACAGCTGGGTATCTTGCCTTTGCCAAACACCTACATGTTGTCCTTCCTGTGTCCACACTGTCAGCTACCATTGTTAATTTCAGTCCTTTATTCTGCAAATAAAAGCAGGTAGCCTACTGCTTAAGAGATTGGCAGTCAGATCCACCCTGGTTTGATTCCCAGCTCTGCCAAAGCTGGGTGGCTTAGTTTTTACTGTTTGCTTGGCAACTCTGAGCCTCAATTTCTTCACCTGTAGAATAGCATTTCTAGGAAACTTTCTGGCAGGATGGTAGTGAGGATTTGTTGAGAGAACAATTAAGTACTTAGCACAGTGTTTGACACAGAGTGTTTCACAATTTAAACTAACTGCTTCTTCCTGGGAAATGGCAAGTATTTGATAACCACTCACCTGTTCTTGTAGTATCTTTTGTTATTGTTGTTGTTAATCTTCACCAGAAGATATTTTTTTCCATTGACTTTTTTTAGAGAGTGTGGAAGGGAGGAGGGCAGGAGGAGAGAGAGGAGAAATAGAGACAGAGAGAGACATCACTGTGAAAGAGACACATTGATTGGTTGCCTCCTGCAAACCTGACTGGGGCAGGGATCGAACTTGCAACCCAAGTATGTGCCCTTGATCGGGAATCAAACCCAAGACTCTCTGGTGCTCAGGCCAACCCTCTAACCACTGAGCAATGCTGGCCAGGGTTCGTAATATCTTTTGATCATAATTAACCTCCATCTTTCCCCCTGGGGCAGGAAAGGGAGAATTGCCTGGTGGGGAGGGTTCCCCACTTTTTGCCCTCTCCCTTAGGCATAGGAAGGTGATATAGGCAGCAGCTGGCTAGGAGATAGAAAGATGACTCTGGAGAATCTCTAAAGTATAGGGCTCCATATCTGAGGACCCCAGGCCTAGTCTGGGAGAGTTGAGGGGAATGATAAGGGAAGAGAGGGTATGAGATACTTGAGTGAAAACAGAGGGATTAAGTAAATGACCACTTACTGAAATGTGAGAACTCAGGTTCTGTTCTGCTGGTACAGCCAGCATCTGCCCCACTCCTCCCCAAGGAAGGGCATTTGAGGATACCTTCCTGGAGAAACAGGTCCAAAAGAAAAAACCTACAGTATGACTTTTGGGGTCCATGCCTGATCACCCTGAAGTTAAACTAACAAATTGGCTAGGACCCTCAGCCCCCTATATACAAAGAACTTCCAGTCTGCAGTTTAGTGAGGGTGATACCTTTGCTGCTTCTTCAACCCGTCTCTTAATATCCCCTAGCACTCTTCTTCCTCCTTGACCCCCACCTTTTTGTTAAAGGCTGGAGGATAATGAAAACCCGAAAAGCCTTACATGCAATAGGTAAAACTGATTTGGGTTTATAAAACACAGTGTATTCCTGTTCATACGGGCTTCTCTCCAGGGCTGGTTCCTGGCCACTCCAGATTTCATCCTTAGCAGTGGCTGTCTTCGATGCCGACTCCCCAGAGGCATCTGCAGTCGCATCCACACAATTTCCAGGTGAGACCTAAATGACTGCAGCTCAAAGAGGCAGGAGCGCCCTCTCTTTCTCCTCGAAGACCTAGCTTCTGAAATAGGGTCAGAGAGTCCAACTCCCCAGGGTGGTTAGCACAGTGCCCAAAGCAACCTGGCCATCTCCGAAGACAAAACACTTAGCTTCAATCTCAGAAGACAACACTAAGCCTAATATCTCTCCACAGGAGCAGAGGGTGAGAGGGGCATTGTTTTATTACAGTGCCTCTGGAGCAGCGGTTCTCAAGCTGTGGGTCGCGACCCCTTTGGGGGTCGAACGACCCTTTCACAGGGGTCACCTAAGACATAACAGTAGCAAAATTACAGTTGTGAAGTAGCAACGAAAATAATTTTATGGTTGGGGGTCACCACAACATGAGGAACTGTATTAAAGGGTCGCGGCATTAGGAAGGGTGAGAACCACTGCAGTGAGGATGTTTGGGTGAAGGTGGCAAGAGCTGAGCAGATGAAAGCTGCAGTAATGAGGAGAAGATAATGAACGTAGCTGATGCTAATTAAGCCCTTGTCATATGCCAGGCCCTGTTCTAGGCAGCTCCTAGGTATTAACTCATTTAGTCTTTGCTACAAAACTCGGAGGTCAGTACTATTATTATCCCCATTATAAAAAGGAAGAGATTGAGGCTGAGGGAGACTCAATAACTTGCCCATGGTCTCTCAGCCATTACAGGAAGGAGCAGAGTTTGAACCCAGATGCTAAATGCAGAGACAAGAGTACACAAAAAAGAAAGGAAAGCAGTTTGCACATTTTTAAGCAACAGGTTAGGATATAATACAGTTTTTTAAAAAGGTTGTCCGGACACAAGTTGAGAAGATTGATAGTGAAAGGAAGCACTGTCCTGACAGGAGAATTGGGGTCAAAATCTCTAAGGTACTTCCAATGAGACCTGAGCAAATCTAATCAGATGGTATGGTGCTGTTTCCCATGATGGCAAACATATTGTTTCCTCACATTGGCAATTAGAGAACATAGAGTACGCAGAACGTATGCCAATGATAGAAAAATCTAGAATTGGAAAAGAGCATCTTTTCAATTTGCCTTTTCCCCAGAGGTATGTAATCAACAACCTAATCAAAAACTTCCTCAGCCTGACTCTGTGTGGAGATCTCGAGAGCCCCTGGGCGGGTTGAGACCAGCACTGCTCAATAGAAATAGAAAGTCAGCTGCATATGCAAGCTACACATGTATTTTTAAAGCAGCCATGCTTAAAAAAAAAAAAAAAAAGTAAAAAGAAGCAGGTGAAATTAATTTAAATAATATATTTTATTTAACAAAATATTTCAATGTGTAATCAATATAAAAATATCCATGAGACACTTTACATTCTTTATCGAACCAAGTTTTCAAAATCTGGTGTCTTATTTTCTAGTCACAGCACATCTCAGATTCAGACTAGCCACGTTTCCAGTGCCCACAGCCATATGTGGCTAGTGTTACCGCGTTAGTGCGGTCCCCGTTTCAATCAAGCGAGGTTCACTACCAGTAAAAAGGCAGAGCGCTGAGTCAGTGATAGAGATCCCACCGGGGCGACAGGGCGGTTACTATGGTGCTCAGCAGCGACAGCAACAATGATGCCGCTGTGCTCGCTTTCCGTGAGGATTTGCTCATTTTTCTTCAGCAAAGTACAATCCCTTGTTTCAAATGTGATAATTGTTTATTAATAATAACTCCTGATCACTGGATTTTTGTATCTCCACTGACAAAGTTGCTTTTCACATTTGGGAAAGCACTTGTTAACAATGTCAAGTGCAAGGTTTGATAACCAATGTTAGAAACAGCCCTAAGCCTTCTCAGTGCCTGTTGCTGACAGAAACAACCAAAGAGAAACAGACCCGAGAACAATCAAAACCATACATGGGCTCACATTTTCTGACCTCTGTGAAGTGCTCCCCCTAGTTAAGTGTTCATGCTTCCCTTCCCTCCCAAACCTTCCGTTGTGTTCCCTGGAGCCCTTTGCCTGGCAGCCCTGTCCTGTGACCCTCACAGAAGAGTCCTGTCACCTCCTTGCCCAAGCAGAACGCCGAAGACAAGCAGAGAAGTAGATGCGACTGCTCCCACACCACAGCCCTTCCTGCAATCCCCAGTGCAGCTTTGAGACAACTGCCTGCCAGTTTGAACTCCAGACTGCTGTGGTTCAAATCCCTATTGACTTGGCATCTTGAGCAAATTACTTAGCCTCCTTTTGTTCAGTTTTCTGTCTGTAAAATGTGGGTAATAATGTCACCACCTCATTGGGTTGCTTTGGGAGTAAGTGAAATAATCTGTGCCAGATGCACCACACACTCAGTTTGCACCAACCTCATGCACTCTAGAGATGACTGTAGTGACTCCTGCGTGAGTTCACGGTCTCCATGTCCAGTTCTCATCCTCTGGCCCTGTCACCAGCTCTGCTCCCCTCTCAACTCACTTTTTATCGACTGAAGACGGGTACTGATCTCACCGTTTCCTCTCCACTCCCATGCCCACCATCCTCCTAGATGACTTCAGTCCACTTAAACAAACTGCCTCTCTGTTTCTTCACAGCCACACTTTAAAACCATCTTCACTCAGTGTTGCACTGGAGCTGGCTTGCAATGTGTGTCTCTTTCCACCTCCACCAGTGACATCAACACCAATAGCTTGAACTCAGCCCTGGTGGGAATATTTACATGACGGAGACTGGCAAATGCTAGACAA